GGAAACAAGATTAGTTTCCCCACCATTGTGCTATTCTGAATGACATCCAAGTACACCATTCTGGAAATTATAGAGCAGAGAGTGCAGGAGGTGCCCACGCTGGTACGGAGGAGAATTGTAATCCAATTGATCTGGAGGCATCAGACATCTTCCCTTAGCGGGTCACCCAATTCCCAATTCTCAAATTCAGGAACCACTGAAGCACTGGGGAATTCCGAGAGTTGAAGTTCACCTATCTTAAAGTGGCCAAGGTTGAGATATGCTGACCTAGGCACCGCGATTACCTCCGAACAGGTATTTCCAGGCCAGTGTGTGCATTAACACACACATTTGAAAACCAACAACTCAACACACCTCTCAGCCAAAGGCTTGATCCTGCTTCCCTGCATCCATGGCAGACTCCCACTGACGTCAGCCAAGCATCTGTGGGTGGAGTGCCTACACCGACGGATTGGGGAAATATTTTTTCTGGCTTCTCTCGGAGTTGCACAAGTCAAAACAGGTCAAGAATCAACTCATCAACTGCTGAGCACAATGTCAGTTCGCACCAAACACTCTAAGAAATGTTCTTGGTGGAAAACAGGTATCACCAAATGGTTCACCAAAGGTAGCAGCAAGGTCACCAGCAAGCTGCTGGATCTCAAACCTTAATGCACGCTTTCCCTGTGAAGAGGATCTCTGGGAGACCCCACATTTCCATGAGAGAAAAGGGCTAAGTTTGAAGGAGATCATTTATCTCCTTGGGACACATGAGCCTCACTCCTCAGGTGGAGCACCAAAACCCGAACCTCTGAGGGCCTCTGACAGCTTATGTTGTCTTTCTGGTGGGGATCACACAAGGAGACTGGTACAGGGATGAAAAACTGGCTGATTAATTGTGACCCTGATATTGCTGGCTCTTGCTTGTCATGTTGCTGTTCAAAGTTGTCATTGTAGGATTGTGTCTGCATGTGTGTGTGTGTGAGACCTTACCATGGGCAATTTATGTTTTATATATTTATGTTGTATCGTGATTGTTTCGATGGTTGGTTGTAACGTGCTATGAGTTAGGAAGGAAGGAAGGAAGGAAGGAAGGAAGGAAGGAAGGAAGGAAGGAAGGAAGGAAGGAAGGAAGGAAGGAAGGAAGGAAGGAAGGAAGGAAGGA